GTTGGTGGAAGTGATTTAAGTTGAGTGGATCGCGATTTTTTGATTTGGTGAATATAGACCACTACATCTCCGTTTTGTGTTCGTTGTGTGCAAAAGTAAAACTAATTTACAGATTTTATCTATTTAACTTTTACTTATTTCTTTAACTCCTGATGTTGGGAGTTGTTTTGCAGCATCCATGGTCTTGAGAGAACGACACTTTATGATAAATGGAGATTATATTTTCTTAAATTTTCCTAACTATATGCCACTTTATAGAATGCTTCAACCGTTTTATAAATTAGCTAACATTGTGAAGTGTAATATTTATAAGGCGTGCATAGCGTAGCCTTGAAACGGCAATCTTACATCACATAATATTACTACGACCTCATAAGAGGAGATTACGTTTAATTTACTCATGATTTATTTTATAATATTTCGAAGTATTTTCATATTACTGTTACATATTAAAAACCCCAAACATTGCGAAATTTATCGATATATACAACATTTTACAGGTTATAATATATCATCAAGTGAGGTAAGCTCAATAAAGTTGTGAAATTCGGTAGAATATGTACTTATAAGTTCAAAATCCAATTCTAGATTCAAAACAAATAAAATACGAACGTGAACCCGCATCCTAACGTCATCTTGAAACGAATTCAACTCAAACGCGAATTTTATAACAAATCTAAGCACAAATTATAACTCAATTTCATTGATTTACTTAAGCATAAATTCGCGTTATTTTTGAATTCAAATACATTCTTCAAAAACAAAAAATTCAAATTATATGAAAACGTTTCAATATTTTAAATATCTACAATCAAAGTGCTATTGGTAATCCATAAAAACAAAAATTCAATATTGTTAACTATATATTTTTACTTATTATACTATTAATAATTGTCATTATCACTACAACTTATTAAATAAAGGCTACCGCTGGACGAAGGCTTCTTCCTTAGATTGTTAATTAATTATTTAGATTGGCAAGTGCATTTTCTTATTATTTTTTGTGTTTATTAGGTGCATCCTGCTGCCCATCTCTTGTATAAGGATACCTCTGTTGCCACTTGCAGGATGATAAAACGTAGTTGATTCTCTTTAATTGCCACTCAGCACTCGGTATTAATAAAAAGATCTAAACAATATTTTACATCTTTGATGATTATATATAAGAAGGAATAATCCACTTTCTTTCTCCTTTTCTTTTATGTGAAAACCTTCCATGTACGCGAACACCCTAGATATTAATCCATCTACGAGAGGTTCACCAGTCTGAGTCCAGAGTGAGGTTAACCAGTAACAGTCTGAGTCCACCTGAGTATGCCAAAGGTATACATGAGGACAGGCATGACCTAACCGTTATATGCGTGTGTCTTATTCACACCGGACAAAAGGCTATTAAGCACTTTGTTCAAGCGTGCATAAAACACGTCGCAAACTGACTGTTTCATACCAGCCTCATCGATACCGATATTCTGTGACATTCCCAGGTATCGGTATGTTTCAGTCTCGGAAAGGGTCCTTAAGTTGACGGGTATAGATAAATCTATGCCCTCAGAGTTAGCAACCCTTCCCCTTTCAACATGAAGGACCGCACACTTATCCGTCCCCAGCTCCATTCCAATGGAATTGCTAAATTCACAAGTGATGTTTAGCAATTCCATTAGATGGGAGCGACTGGAAGTGAATAACTTGAGGTCAACCATATAGAAAATATGGGTCACTTTTGTCCCTCCTTTCCGTAGCTGAAATCCCCTCCCGGATTATTATTATTATTATTTTTTTGGGGTATCTATATAATTTTCTCATCTGGTTGGGTTCTATAAATATATAATTTTAAGTTAAAATGAAAAGATAAATATACATAAACACCAATAAAATAAAATAAATACAAAAAATACATAAATAAATAAGATACAACCAGATGGAAGCACACGGCAGGGGAGACCAAACGGCCGAGGGTTAGGAGGAAAGGGGAAGAAACCGGCGGACGATGCGGGCGGTATCGAGGAGCACTGCCTTCTGCATTTGGGCTCGGAGCGGTCCGTCACGGAATCCCAGTCGCCTCAGATGACCTGAGAGGCTGACTGGGATTAGCCCATTCGCAGAGACGACTATTACAGGAATAATTTCTGCCTGCAGACCACCCCACATGTAGGTTACCTCGTGAGCCAGGTCCAGATATTTTGTTCGTTTATCTGTTTCGGCTTTCACGAGGTTCTCGTCATACGGAATGGTAATGTCGATCAAAAATATGCTTGACTGTGCCCAATGCATCAGCACAATATCAGGCATATTGCAAGAATAGTCCTGTCTGTGATGATGGACCGGTCTCAGTGGAGTCTGGTGCGGTCATTTCCGAGCACGGCTTCCGGCAAGTACATGTAATACGGCAATTTCCGGTCCACGAGACCGTATTTCAGAGCGAGCTCCTGGTGTAGAATTCTGGCTACTAGATTGTGCCTGTGCAAGTACTCGGAGTTAAAAAGCGCCGAAAACCGGAGATGACATGCCTAAGTGACTCACCGGGATGGCGCCAAGCTCGACAGACGTTGACGGTGACATCCTTTAGGATGTATCTCCGATAGTTCTTGGTCTTAATAACCTGATCCTGTATTGCACAGACAAAACCCTCGATTTCCCCGAAAAGGTCACCGAAAAGTAGCCAGTTGAGGGAGGCGACTGTATCTACGAAGGGCTCATGTAGAGCCCTGTAGTACCTCCCGTGGAGCTCCTTCTCTCTATCTCCTTCCATACGGTCTCCCGGTCGAAAATGCTTTGTACTGCCGGGTCCTGCCATTGATCGTTGGCTAAGGATAGAGGGGTAAGCCCTTTATAGGATGTTTACAGCGTACGGTACGGACGGTTTTCATGCCATAATTCGAAAGAGAATAGCATCCCTCTTGCGCAGGGTTCGTGGGAGCTCTAATAGCATTCTGAGGGCAATATCTGATAGATTTGATGGTCCCATCCAGGGCACTGGATGCGTATGCACTTGCATGGGCCTGGTGTCATGGGGTGCCAAAAATAAAAAAAAATAATTGTTATGAAAATTGTACGTGTAATAATTTAAGACTAACATAGGTTAAGCTAATTTACTAACATATTATGGACTATATGTGGGTCTGAAATAAATTTATTATTATTATTATATTGTTATCACGAGAAATGACGTCATTATAGAATGGATCATCCGATCTTGCCAGGAAGTAATCAGGGAGGCTGCACACTTCGCGATTATGCATGGTGAGCGCGCTCAGGAAGCCACGCCCACCATGCTTTCGCGGCAAGTACAGCCTCATTACCGACGATCTCGGATGATGCATCCTATGGGACATCATGGTAGTGCAGACTTTTCTATCCAGGGCGTTAAGTTCAGTCTGAGTCCACCTGAGTACGCCAAAGGTATACATGAGGATAGGCATGACCCAGCCGTTATATGCGTGTGCCTTATTCACACCGGACAAAAGGCTGTTAAGTAACTTGGTCAAGCGTGCATAAAACATGTCGCAAACTGACTGTTTCATACCAGCCTCATCGATACCGATGTTCTGTGACATACCCAGGTATCGGTACGTTTTAGTCTCGGAAAGGGTTCTTAAGTTGACGGGCATAGATAAGTCTATGCCCTCATAGTTAGCAACCCTTCCCCTTTCAACATGGAGACACACAACACACTTATCCATACCCAGCTCCATTCCAATAGAATTGCTAAATTCACAAGTGATGTTTAGAAATTCCATAAGATGTGAGCGACTGGAGGCGAATAATTTGAGGTCATCCATATATAAAAGGTGGGTCACTCTTGTATCTCCTTTCTGAAGCTGAAATCCGCTCCCGGAGCCCTCCAGTAAAGTTCTGAGATGGTTCAAAGAGAGGCAGAACCAGATTGGACTCAGACAGTCGCCCTGGAATATACCCCTTCTTATCCTTATGCGGCTTTCCGCAGCCGTCATCCGCTCGCCTAGATGATAGAGGATCGTACTTCACTGCCCCATACACTGCCTGAGGAAGTCTCGAACTGTACAGTCAATCTTGTACAGTTCGAGGACCCTCTTTAGGGCACCGAGTCAAATGCCTTTCTGTAGTCTATCCAGGCGGCGGAGAAGTTCCGACGGTTGCATTTCACCACTTTGCCAATGACCGCGTCAATGAGGAGTGGTTCCTTGGTTCCAAGACCGCCGATCCGACATCCATTTTGAGCGCGCGACATCACCTGATTTGAGTCCAGGTGACGAGTGATTCTCGCGCTCAAAATGGATGTTTGTGTCTTGTATATGGTCGGTAGACACGTAATGGGGCGGTATTTGCTCGGGTCTGTGGTACCCTGGTCTTTAGAAACCAAATGAGTGATCCCAGTAGTAAAGAGGCTTGGGAGGGACTTCTGGTTGAGAGCCTCTTGAAACTTTTGGGCGAGTACAGCGTGACACACCATGAACCCCTTCAGCCAGTAGTGATGCAGCCCGTCAAGCCCTGGACTTTTCCAGTTCGGGGCCCTACGGACCGACTTAGCTACGTCATCCGGCGTTATGATGACGGGGTCCATGGGCGTTATACCCGCACACTGACTCGCCACAACTTCCGTCCAAGGGCCCTCACTGTGGTTTACGGGCTCTGACCACAGGCTGCGCCAGAATGCGACCGTGTCGGCCCGATTCGGTGCTGGGCCCGTTCCACTTACCATTGGTCGCCCCAATGATTTATAAAGCCTCTTCTGATCACTCTGGAAGAGACGATTCTGGTTCAACCTTGTCGACCTCTCGGTATATCGCCGAATCCGCTTTCCCCAAACAGCGATTCTCTGCTTCAGGTCGTCTATGCGCTCCGTCAGTTTTTGCATTATATCCGGCTGGGACAAACTAACATTTGTCCCAGCAAACGCCATCCTGACGGTGCACACAAGCCATGGCCTGGTATTGCCTGACCTGAAGCATATCAGTCTGCCGATGAGGACCCTAGCCTTTGCTATACGTTCTTCAACTCTTATTCTCCAGGCTGGGATAGCACTACTTTGTCCAGTAGCGCGTCCAGCCGTGGAGAGTTTGGCGCCTATAGTACGGCAGGCTGCCAGTGCGGTGCCAAAGAGAATTGAGTCCATCTCGCAAAGGTCCCAGCTGGCTTCCAAATAGGTCACCAGCATTGGGTTCAGAGCCCTCACGACAGCCCGATTCCGCTTGCTTAGAGCTATACGGGGAAATCACGGTCGATTTTCGAGAGGCGTACTGCGCGTTTCCACAATCGTCTTTTCCAATGTACTCCTCATTTGCTCTAGTTCTAGCCTCACGTCGTAGCCGTTCGAGTTCGGCAACATTAAATATATTTGAGCGCAAGATATACTGAACTCGGTCTGCCATGTTTTGCTCGGTGACGGTTATAGATGGCTCCAGCTCAGCAAAAAGACGATGCATCCTAGCCCGATATGCCAAACCTCCAACTTCTCCCCCTTTCGCCCTAAAATACGCCCGCAGTGCATTGGTATTCATTTTGATTGACCATCGCATGCGGCGTACTCCACCAGTGGCGGGTGCCGATTGCTGGGCCCGCGAAGACCCTGCCGATACCAAGCCAGATGGTGGGGATGATAGATGCGAGGGGCTGATGGGTGGTCGTGAAGCACTTCTCGCTCGGCTGGCGGTTCGCATGCTGTCGCGTCCAGCGCCAGCTTCAGACGCGCCCTGGCGACCTCCAGGCAGCGACCCTTTGCGCGTTCTTCCGTATTCCATCATCCATATAAGTGGGCGCCTTTTAACGGGAAACGCCCAGACCCGGCGCCGTTTCGTGGTGAGGCCATATGCACAAGCGGGCCTTTGCACCTTCATTTTTTGCCGAAGCACGGCACTTACACCTCTTGGCAAGGTGCTGACTGACTGCGCTGACGTAGCAGTTTTGTCACATAACTGTTACGTCAGCGTGCGATGGGGTCATCACTTCCCTATGCCTTTTTATTATTGAGGTCATCCATATAGAATAATATTATTATTGTTTTGGGGTATCTATATAATTTTCTCACCTGGTTGGGTTCTATAAATATATAATTATAAATTAAAATGAAAATATAAATGTACATAAATATCAATAAACTAAAATAAATACAAAAACTACATAAATAAATAAGATCCAACCAGATGGGAGCCCTCGGCAGGGGAGACCAAACGGCCGAGGGTTAGGAGGAAAGGGAAAGAAACCGGCGGACGATGCGGGCGGTATCGAGGAGCACCGCCTTCTGCATTTGAGCCCGGAGCGGTCCGTCACGGAGTCCCAGTCGCCTCAGATGACCCGAGAGGCTGACTGGGATTAGCGCATTCACAGAGACGACTACAGGAATAATTTCGGTCGGCATACCACCCCACATGTCGGTCACCTCGTAAGCCAGGTCCAGATATCTTGTTCGTTTATCTGTTTCGGCTTTCACGAGGTTCTCGTCATACGGAATGGTATGTCGATCAAAAGTATCCTTGATTGTGCCGGGTCCATCAGCACAATATCAGGCTTATTCGCAAGAATAGTCCTGTCTGTGATGATGGCCCGGTCCCAGTAGAGCCTGGCGCGGTCATTTTCGAGCACGGCTTCCGGCAAGTACTTGTAATACGGCAATTTTTGGTCCACGAGACCGTATTTCAGAGCGAGCTCCTGGTGTAGAATTCTGGCTACTAGGTTGTGCCTGTGCAAGTACTCAGAGTTAGAAAGCGCCGAACAACCGGAGATGACATGCTTAAGTGACTCTTTGGGATGGCGACAAGCTCGACAGACGTCGACAGTGCCATCCTTTAAGATGTATCTCCGATAGTTGTTGGTCTTAATAACCTGATCCCGTATTGCTCAGACAAAACCCTCGGTTTCCCCGAAAAGGTCACCGAAACGTAGCCACTTGAGGGAGGCGGCTGTATCTACGTGAGGCTCATGTATATCCCTGTAGTACCTCCCGTGTAGCTCCTTCTCCTTCCATATCCATATCGGTCGGAAATGCTCTGTACTGCCGGGTCTTGCCATTGCTCGTTGGCTAAAGATGCAGCCAAAGAAATAACGTCATAATAGAATGGATCATCCGATCTCGCCAGGAAGTAATGACGGAAGCTGTACACGTCGCGATTATGCATGGTGAGCGCGCTCAGGAAGCTACGCCCACCATGCATTCGCGGCAAGTACAGCCTCATTACCGACGATCTCGGATGATGCATCCCATGGGACGTCATTGTAGTGCGGACTTTTCTATCCAGGGCGTTAAGTTCAGTCTGACTCCACCTGATTATTATTTTGGGGCATCTATATAGTTTTCTCATCTGGTTGGGTTATATAGATATATAATTATAAATGAAAATGAAAAGATAAATATACATAAATATCAATAACATAAAATAAATATAAAAGTACATAAATAAGTAAAAGCCCAACCAGATGGAGGCCCTCGGCAGGGGAGACCAAACGGCCGAGGGTTAGGGGGAAAGGGAAAGAAACCGGCGGACGATGCGGGCGGTATCGAGGAGCACCGCCTTCTGCATTTGAACCTGGAGCGGTTCGCCACGTAGTCCCAGCCGCCTCAGATGACCCGAGAGGCTGACTGGGATTAGCCCGTTTGCAGAGACGACTACAGGAATAATTTCGGTCGGCAGACCACCCCACATGTCGGTCACCTCGTGAGCCAGGTCCAGATATTTTGTTTGCTTGTCTGTTTCGGCTTTCACGAGGTTCTCGTCATACGGAATGGTAATGTCGACCAAAAATATCCTTGACTGTGCCCGGTCCATCAGCACAATATCAGGCTTATTCGCAAGAATAGTCCTGTCTGTGATGATGGCCCGGTCCCAATAGAGCCTGGCGCGATCATTTTCGAGCACGGCTTCCGGCAAGTACTTGTAATACGGCAATTTCCGATCCACGAGACCGTATTTCAGAGCGAGCTCCTGGTGTAGAATTCTGGCTACTAGGTTGTGTCTGTGCAAGTACTCAGAGTTAGAAAGCGCCGAACAACCGGAGATAACATGCCTAAGTGACTCACCGGGATGGCGACAAGCTCGACAGATGTCGACGGTGCCATCCTTTAGGATGTATCTCCGATAGTTGTTGGTCTTAATAACCTGATCCTGTATTGCACAGACAAAACCCTCGGTTTCCCCCGAAGAGATCACCAAAGCGTAGCCAGTGGAGGGAGGCTACTGTGTCTACGAAAGGCTCATGTAGAGCCTTGTAGAACCTCCCGTGGAGCTCCTTCTCCTTCCATACGGTCTCCCGGTCGGAAATGCTCTGCACTGCCGGGTCTTGCCATTGCTCGTTGGCTAAGGATAGAGGGGTAAGTCCTTTATCACAAGAAATGACGTCCTTATAGAATGGATCATCCGATCTCGACAGGAAGTAATCACGGAGGCTGCACACTTCGCGATTATGCATGGTGAGCGCGCTCAAGAAGCCACGACCACCATGCTTCCGCGGCAAGTACAGCCTCATTACCGACGATCTCGGATGATGCATCCTATGGGACGTCATGGTAGTGCGGACTTTTCTATCCAGGGCGTTAAGTTCAGTCTGAGTCCACCTGAGTATGCCAAAGGTATACATGAGGACAGGCATGACCCAGCCGTTATATGCGTGTGCCTTATTCACACCGGACAAAAGGCTGTTAAGCACTTTGGTCAAGCGTGCATAAAACACGTCGCAAACTGACTGTTTCATACCAGCCTCATCGATACCGATGTTCTGTGACATACCCAGGTATCGGTATGTTTCAGCCTCGGAAAGGGTTCTTAAGTTGACGGGCATAGATAAGTCTATGCCCTCAGAGTTAGCAACCCTTCCCCTTTCAACATGGAGGACCGCACACTTATCCGTCCCCAGCTCCATTCTAATAGAATTGCTAAATTCACACGTGATGTTTAGCAATTCCATAAGATGGGAGCGACTGGAGGCGAATAATTTGAGGTCATCCATATAGAAAAGGTGGGTCACTTTTGTACCTCCTTTCCGAAGCTGAAATCCCCTCCCGGAGCCCTCCAGTAAAGTACTGAGAGGGTTCAAAGAGAGGCAGAACCAAATTGGACTCAGACAGTCGCCCTGGAATATACCCCTTCTTATCCTTATGCGGCTTTCCGCAGCCGTCATCCGCTCGCCTAGATGACAGAGGATCGTACTCCACTGCCCCATACACTGCTCGAGGAAGTCTCGAACTGTACAGTCAATCTTGTACAGCTCGAGGACCCTCTTTAGCCATGTATGGGGCACCGAGTCAAAAGGCGTAGGGAAGTGACGACCCCATCGCCCGCTGATATAACGGTTATGTGACAAAACCGCTACGTCGGCGCAGTCAGTCAGCACCTTGCCAAGAGGTGTTAGTGCCGTGCCTCGGCAAAAATTGAAGGTGCCAGGGCCCGCTTGTGCACATGGCCTAACCATGAAACGGCGCCGGGTCTGGGCGTCTCCCGCTAAATGACGCCCTAAAATGGATGATGGAATCAAATGAAACGCGCAAAGGGCCGCTGCCTGGAGGTCGCCAGGGCGCGTCTGGAGCTGGCGCTGGACGCGACAGCATGCGAACCGCCAGCCGAGCGCGAGGTGCTGCACGACCACCTAGCAGCTCCTCGCATCCATCATCCCCACCAGCTGGCTTGGTGTCGGCAGGGTCTTCGCGGGCTCAGCAATCGGCACCCGCCACTGGTGGAGTACGCCGCATGCGTTGGACAACCCAGATGAACAGCAACGCATTGCGGGCGTATTTTAGGGCGAAAAGGGGAGAAACTGGAGGTTTTGCGTATCGGGCAAGGATGCATCGACTTTTTGCTGAGCTGGAGCCATCTGTAACCGTCACCGAACAAAACCTGGCAGACCGAGTTCGGTATATCTTGCGCTCAAATACATTTGATGTCACCGAACTCGAACGGCTACGACGTGAGGCTGTTCCTTCATCGGGTGAAAATGCTGCGGCTGAGGATGCGGCGCCACAACTTGCTGAGCAAACGGCAAATGTGGATGCCGCCGTGAATACGCCAGTTGTGGTTGATTCAAACGATGATGGAACAGTCGCCCAGGAACTGGAACTAGAGCAAATGAGGAGTACATTGGAAGAGGCGATTGTGGAAACGCGCAGTACGACTCTCGAAAATCGACCGCGACTTCCCCGCTTAGCCCTAAGCAAGCGGAATCGGGCTGTCGTGAGGGCTCTGAACCCAATGCTGGTTACCTATTTGGAAGCCAGCCGGGACCTTTGCGATACGGACTCAATTCTTTTTGGCGCCGCACTGGCAGTCTGCCGTATTATAGGTGCCAAACTTTCCACGGCTGGACGCGCTACTGGACAAAGTAGTGCTATCCCAGCCTGGAGAATAAGAATTGAAGAACGTATCGCAAAGGCTAGGGCCCTCATCGGCAGACTGATATGCTTCAGGTCAGGCAATACCAGGCCAAGGATTGTGCGCACCGTCAGGATGGCGTTTGCTGGGATAAATGTTAGTTTGTCCCAGCCGGATATAATGCAAAAACTGACGGAGCGCATAGA